GGCCTCTCCTGCATGTTTTCTCTTGACAATGTGAGCGTTTTTATTTTGAAGGCACGGATAAGTAATTTATGGTCATTATAGAAACCCTATAAGATATTGGCAAGCAAAAATTAATTTAAAGATCACACGCCCTGACTGGTTTGGCTCAGTGGATAAAGCATCAGCCTGCGAACTCAAGGGTCCCAGGTTTGATTCCGGTCAAGGGCATGTACCTTGGTTGCGGGCACATCCCCAGTCGGGGGTGTGCAGGAGGCAGCTGATCAATGTTTCTCTCTCATCGATGTTTCTAGCTCTCTATCCCTCTCCCTTCCTCTCTGTAAAAGATCAATAAAAATATATTTTAAAGATCACTGGAAATCCCACCACCCACTATTAGTCTCTTGCTGGATCTTCTTCACTGCTCCCTGTACAAATGTATGCAGTTGACCCTTGAACGACACAGGTTTAAACTGCACAGGTCCACGTTTACCCAGATTTAAAGTGCAGGCCACTTATGCATAGGCCTGTACAGATCAAATCTGTGTTGTGTGAGGGTCTACTGTATTTTTTTTAAACAGTTTTAAAATATTTTTTAAAATTTATTTCAGAGAGGAAGGGAGAGGGATAGAGTGATAGAAACATCAATGATGAGAATCATTAATCGGCTGCCTCCTGCAGGCCCCACCACCTGGGCATGTGTAGACTGGGAATCTAACTGTGACCTCCTGGTTCATAGGTCCATGCTTAACCACTGAGTAACACCATCCAGGGTCTACTGTATTTTTAATTGGGAATCTAAATATGTGGAGGGCCAACAAGTTACATGAGGATTTTTGACTGCATGGTGGGTGGTATCTCTAACCCCTGTGTTGTTCAAAGGTCAACTGTACGTGTAAATTATCTTTTTAAACAAAAATGGGATCTTACTATGTAAACCATTTCACACATTTTTTTTTTACTTAAAAATATGGCATGACCATCTTTCCATGTCACCATTAATCACTTCTTCCTGTTTGAAACTTCCTGTGCCCATGGCTTCTGGAACAGGGCATGCCTCCTGTGTCAGTGACAACTTTTTCATTCCCTCTGCCTATAATGGTGGCTCCTTCTCAGGTTTACTCCTCTATCTTTACTTTTGTCATTTCAACTTTTTTTCCAATTTGGAACCAAATTGCCAGTGAGATATTTCCACTTTACTGTCCTACTCTCACTGCAAGAAAGTTCAAATTTATGTTCTTTATTCAAAGCAGCATCCCCTTCCAATTCACATGTTTGTTGCTGATACCATTTTTCTTCAAGGGAACTATTGCCAGAGCCACCTTTGTCCTACACTCTTCTGTTCACATCTAATTAGTTCCCAGGGCCTGTTCATTTTTAAAAAAAGTATCTCCTATACCTCAATATCTCCTTTCTATTCTCAGTGTACCAGCCCCAGGCCCTTGTCTTAAATGCTCCTGTCACTCGACAGCCTCCCAGTGGGCCTCTCACTCTCAGTCTCCTGTGCACTCTGGCCAGGTGACCTGTTCTCCATCACCCGTGTGGTTGCTCTGGAACCCGAAATGCCTCTTTCCCACATCCATACCTCTCCAAGCTCACACCCACTTATATACCACCTCATATCCAACTGTTTACAAAATACCCTCCCTCCTTTAGTCAGGCCAGCCTTTTCACTGTCCGTTATGTGTAAGCTTTGTCCTCATCCCTATTACACAGGCACCTTTCCCTAGTCCCACCTGAATCCTTTCTAACCCACTAGGCCCTGCTCACATCTCACCTTTTCTTGTTACTCCAGCCCACCCAGGTCTCCCTGCTTCACTAAATTCCTCTTACACTTACAGCATGCACTGCACAGAACAAACTTCATAGTGTCAACCCTGGATAAGACATGCAAAATATGATGGGCATTACACACTGGTTGGCTTAACCTCCTAGGGCATAGAAAGTGGATTCTATGGAAATTAGAGAAGTGGAGAGATCCAGAGAGGTCAGGGAATTGAAAGAAGGGGGTCAGGATTAGAATTGCTGGGAAACAGTCTCACCTGTGTGGGTTCCCCTCGGTCCATTTTGTCCCCTGTTCCCAGCTGCCCATATCTGTTATTTCCCTGCATAAAGATTCGGCCAAATTCATCCACCAAGCCAAGGTGATTGTAGCCAAGAGCACAGAATAGGATCTAGGGGGTAAGACAGAAAGGGGAGGTGGGCATTCAGGTCCCTCCAGAGGAACTCTGAACTCCAAAACCTCCCAGCCACTAACCTGGCTCTCTTTTGGTCTTGCCCTCTATGTCACCCATCTCTCTGGGTCCCCGGTCCCTCCCTGATCAACCATTTGATTCCTGCTCATATTTCAGACCTTCAGAACCTTTCAACCCCTCAAGTCCCTCCTGTAATGATCTGCCCCATCCCTCCAGGATCCTACCTTGGCAGGCAGTGAGAGAGCAAGTGGCATCTGCTGGTCCAGGGGGTCAAAGGCTTGAAGGGTCCCAAAGAGATCACGATACACCCCTGGGGTATGCACCTCAAAATACACTCCCCCCTCATCTGGGGGGTCGGGTGCCCTCAGCTCAGCAGCTTTGGGCACCCATTTCCTAGGGATAAGGCCCCACCTGGGGTGAAAACTACAAGATCTGGGGAGTCTCACACCCACTAGAATTCACCAGCTATGGTGTCTGGAAATCTAAACAACATCTTTTTACTAGGATGCCCTAGGGGTCCACCACAGGAGCTGGGATAATGATTGCGGGTATCTGGAAGATCTGTCCAAGGCTAGGTCCTAGAGCAAAAGGGAGGTGGTTCTTTACCCGTAATGTATAGAGTACTGCTCTGGTTGGAAGCCATGCAGGCCACACGCAGGTGAGGCAGGCAACGGGACACCTTCCTCAGGGCCAGCTGAACTGTGTAGGAGCGTGGCTGGTCTAGCTGGGTTTCATTCACTACCAAAGAGTAGATCTTTCCTTCCTCTGGAGATTGGAGGAAGCAGACAATTATGTGGGAGAAGGAACCCTCCAATATCCACATTAACTTCCCAATAGACCCCCTAAGTCAGCGGTTCTCAACCTGTGGGTCGTGACCCCTTTGGAGGTTAAACGACCCTTTCACAGAGGTTGCCTAAATACATCCTGCATATCAGATATTTACATTACGATTCATAACAGTAGCAAAATTACAGTTATAAAGTAGCAAGGAAAATAATTTTATGGTTGGGGGTCACCACAACATGAGGAACTGTATTAAAGGGTCGCAGCATTAGGAAGGTTGAGAACCACTGCCCTAAGCCATACAGGATGAAACTTTACTATCTTAGAGTGGGGTTTAAGAAAAAGGGCAGAGATGAAATAAGGAAAGAGTGGTCTCATGTTTCCCAGATTCCAGCCTCTTACACCAAAAATAAATCAGGGAAGTCCTTTTCAGTGTGAGAAATGAATGGAGAGAAAACCTCGTAGATTTGGCAGAATACAGTCTGAATGTTGGGAATGATGTTTGGGGATTTAGGGCCTTACATAGCATTAAGAAGTCTGGAGTGTGGTTAGGTATAGGGAGGCAGTATAGGGTATAAAGTGAGGTGCCTGGTATGGAGGTTGGGGAGATTAGAATTTAAAGCAGGGCCCTTTGCATATGTGAAATATGCAAAATCTTAGAGTAGGAGACAGACAAAAGCAGAGCTATTTGGTTTGAGATGGCATTCAGAACCCTGTGTGAGAGGCCTCCCTCCCCATGCCCTGCAGCAGGTCTTGAAGAATCTTCAGAAAACAATTTGTAAACTACTGCTCAAAGCCACACCTGTGAGGAGCAGTAGAGCCCGCTGAGTCTCCTGACCGACCAGCACAATCTGTTTGAAGCTCATGGAGTGGTGGAAAGTCATTTTGAAGACCCGCTGCCCACTAGACTGCAGATAGACCTCAACACAGTCGCAGGCCCGACTGCTGGTGGTGCCTACCACCTCCAGCTGCTCCCGAGTGGCCAACACATAGAGGTATTTACGGTAAACTGTGTCACATCTTGGGTCGGAGGCAAACTGTAGGAAAAGACAAAGGTGTCTGGGATCTAGAGCTTGAAGTGGAATGAGGCTGGGGTAGGAGATGAGATACTTGGGTACGGAGCTAGGAAATGGGGACTTGTTTTCCAGTTCCTGGTATGGGAAGGCAGCTGTCCTGAGGGGGACACCTCAGTTCTGATGTGGGCCCTGGGTCCCTGGAGGTTGGGTGGGTTCTTAGCTGCCAAAGTTCTGCTACTCACATCCTTGGCTCCTCGACACAAAACGACATAGCGGCAGGCTCGCTTCCACTGGATCTGGCCAAGAGTGGAGGAGACCAGGGCATTTTTGAGGAAGAAGAGGGTCCCCGCATAGTCAAGAATAAAGATGTGATCCTTGGTGGGCAAGAAACGGCGGTAGCCATGGGCTAGCAGAGGGGCTACACTCTTGCTGAGACAGCGGCGGCGGCCCCCAAATGCCTGGAAATACAGGCCTTTCGTGTCTAGAGAAGGGAAGGATATGGAAGGTTCAAGGGGTTGGGATGACACAAGGGAGATGAATCAGAGCTTGGGCAAACCAGATTTCTCAGATATCCTATTTAGCTCCTCTCCATCCCCAGGACTGGGAAACGTACCCCTTCCAAAGGACACATGCAGAGCTTAGAGGATATCCTTAATTATACCCAATGACTGAAGGTTAGTTTTCTGGCCCACCTCAGCCCAGGGCCATAAACATGCTTCTAAATGAGCACTTCTTTGATCCAAACTTGCATAGCATTAAGATTTACTCTGAAAGCTTAGGATATTTCCCAGAGTCTAAGACTTAGTCTTGGTGTGGGAGGAGGATATTTATGAGAAACAGGAGACATCAAGGGACATATAATAAATACACAGAAAAGAATCAGAGTGAGGAAGAAATAGGAATGAAAAAGAATGACTCAGAAAGACCAGTAACTCTCCCTCACCCCTAGCTCTGGATCTGCTATCCAGATCTCTCTTAATCTCTACTAAGTGAGATGAAGTGGATAGGGACTCCCTGGAAAGGAAGGGGGGTTTAGAGCATGTTTTTCAGTCTGAGGGAGAATTTATCCCTCAGGGGACATTGGTTGTCACAACTGAGGGAGGTGCTACTGGCATCTAGTGGGTAGAGCCCAAGGGCACTGTTAAACATTCTTTAATGCACAGGATAGTTCCCCACATCAAAGAATTATTTGGGCCCTGGCCAGTGTTGCTCAGTTGGTTGAGTGTCATCCCATGCACTCAGTCACGGTTGGATTCCAGGTCAGAGCACATGCCCAGATTGCAGGCTCAATCCACAGTGGGGGTGTGCAGGAGGCAGCCATCAATATTTCTTTCTCATCAATGTTTTCCTCTCTCCCTCTCCCATCCTCTCTTTCTAAAAAATCAATAAAAACATATTTTTTTAAAAAAAGAATTATTTGGTCCAAAACCTCAGTAGTGACAAGGTTGAGAAACCCTGGTTTACAGGAGGGGAAGCTTGCGGTTTGGGGAGTAGAAGATGTCTCTGGGGTAAGATTTGGAAGAGTTTGAATATGGAAGGCGACATGGTAGGGATACTAGTAATGGGGGCTCTGGGTGGGGCATCTATCAGAAGGTGGTTCTAGAGACTTGAAGTACTCAATGGCATGTTTGAATCTAACATTTTCCTTCCACAGAAAGGGGCCCTGGAAGATTGGCTGGGAATGCTGAGGTCATCAGGAAACTCTATGGAGCAGGAGAAACCCCAGAATAAGGTAGGTCAGAGGCAAAGAGAAGTACAGGTTCTGGGGAAGGTGTACAGTTAAGAATGGCAGCTCTCTTCCAGGGACGGACTCCAGAACCCTGCTCTCGTAGGCGAGGACTGAGCTTGCGACAGATGCGTCTCCACACGCCCTCAGCATCGCACACTTCATGGAAGTAGTGGCAGGTCTGGCCTAGGGCAACTACATCTCTGACTGGGAGAAATGAGATGATATGTTCCACCTGAGGGGCAGGAGGGAGAAAGCAGGGGTCATTGGGGGCCCCTCCCAGTCCTTTATTCTTAATACTTCCCCCTCCTCAAGGACTCACCAGCTCTGGGGGGAACAACTGAACAGAAATAGGGTTCCCTCTTCCTTTCTTCTCTTCACCCCCAAGCTCTGGGCCACATGAAGGGCAGCTCCGCTTCACCTACCCAAGAAAAAAGGGGAGTACAGGGGTTCCATGAGGATCATGCTTTTTTTTTTTTTCCTCCTCAGCCTGTCTTTCATTAACTACTATTTTGGGGGTTCATAGCTCTATCTTCCAGCTCTGTGCTGTCAAATCCTCCCATCTTTCTCTCTAGATCCCTGTCCTTGTTCTTTATTCCAATTTCTCCAAGTAACCCCTCCCCAAATCTCTTGCTGACCTCTTCTTGCCCTTCTCTTGACACTCCTCCCACCCAAGCCTCTCCTCTTATCCTCACAGCCCGGTGAATTTTTGCAGCTTCTGTCTCTGGCTTCTCCTCACCATCTTGACTGCCCTCCCCCTGCTCCTGTCCTCATGTCTCCAGGCCCCTTGGCACTCGTCTTGGGCCCTGTTCCTGCTGCCTTTCCCACACCATGTCCCCTGCCTGGGCTTGGGGGACCTCTAGGGCCCCTCTGCCTCCTAGGCCCCTCCCCCATGGAGTCTGGGGCAAACAAACCTCTCTGTGACCTCACTGCCTGGCCACTGTGACCTGTTTTCCCCAACCTTGGCAGGGATTTTCTGTCTTAGCTCCTCAGTTCTAGCTCAGCTCTAGCCACCCAATGGCTCATGGGATATGCATTTTACAGGAGAAACACAGTGTGAACTCCTGGTAGATGATGCCTTTACTTTCAGGGAGTAGTAGGAGCTTTTTTCCACTTGAGGCCCTTTTAGCACTAACTACTATAGAGAAACACTGGTGAATTCTTCATATCTCTGCAGGCCAGGGCCTCCAGAGGATTTGTAGCTCAAAAGTATAACCCCCCCCCCCCCCAAAAAAAAGTATAGACTCAGTTTGCCAGGTGAGGGGGAGGGTGACCCTGCTAATGACCATCCTTCTCACAAAAGCATGCACCAGATGAAAGTCAGTGCAATTCAGCACAGACTTTAAAGTCTCATGAAAAATACAGATCCAAAAGCAGACTGCTTTCCCGGGTCAGTAACATGACTGCATGTAGGAAGGGCGGCCTATTACGGCGGAAGAAAGGGTGAGATTTACTCTGAAAGCTTAGGATATTTCCCAGAGTCTAAGACTTAGTCTTGGGGTGGGGAGTGATATCTATGAGAAACAGGAATCAGGGTTGTGTCTGCACAGGTGGGACAGACCTGCACCAATAAATCCAAGCAGTCGCTGGCTCTCCCAGGGGCTCACGGGAACCCAGTCCTGGCCGGCCAGCCCCGAGCCGCTCAGGATTACAGACTTGGTTCACTGGGCGAAGAGCCTGTCACCCACCCAATCAAGCTCCCATACTCACGGTGACTTAGGAAACAGCTGGTCTGGGCTACCTAAGATGAGATTTTAATAATTCAATCATTGTTTGGGAATGTCAGCGTCTGAGAAGTGACTTGTGAGTGGTTAGGCAACTATTAACATCCTAAGGTGGGCTCCTTCGGCCCCCAAGGCATCTAAAAGGAAGTTAGGTCTCTCGGCAGACAGCAGCACAGTCAGCTTTCTCTCATTTCCGGATCCCCTTTATTCACTCCACTTCACCCCAGGCGGCAAGGAGGGTGCGGACAGAAAAAGCCCACCGTCAAAGCTGATGCTGTGGGGAGCCTGGGGCTCTGGTGCAAGCTGTCAGCACGTTGCCGTTTGCTCCTGCCAGCTCGTCCACTTCCCTCCGCCTCAGTTTCCACATTTGTAAAGTGGAGGACTTCTGGATGAGAGACGGCCCCTTCCAGCCTAACCCCCCGGTCCTGTCATCACGGTTCCTGCCCCGGCGCGCTCCTCTGGCTGGGCGGGCAGGCCGGGCGGCAGCTCTCGAGGCTTTCCCGGCTCCTGGAACCCTCCCTCCAGGAGCTGGGCTGGGCATCTTCAGGCTCTGGGAAGCCGCCCCCCGGGCTCTACACAGACCGTCGCAGGGCCTCAGCCGCCCCAGCCGGAATGGCCTTCACAGTCGTTCAGGCCGCGACGACCCTCTGCGCACGGGGCCGCCCAGCACTCTCCGGTCTACCTCACGGCCTCATCGCGGCTCGCTCCGTAGCACCTACAGCTCGCACGCACTACTCCTGCCCCTGAAATGCTCCCCGTCCAACCCGCGCGCAGCGCTCACATTTTTTTACCTCCGTTCTAAAGTTCTAGCTCACCCGCCTCCTTAGCGAAGGGACCGCCTTCTCTCCCATGCTACTGGTAGGTAGAGCCGTCCCTCAGAGAAGAGGCGGGACCAGGGTCCCTCCAGAGAATCTAATTGGCCTTCTCGACAGTCACTCGCCTGTATCTGGCTTACGATTGGTCTTCATTAGAAGAGGACTGGGGTTGGCGGTCTCTCGGCCCCTATCCCTTTTAGTTGAGCACCGGCGTCCCGCCTCCTGGTTGAATCTGATTGGCTTTACCTCCAGCCTAAGCAGTGTGATTGGATGCGGCTGAACGGGGTGAACCCGGCTGAAGCGTCAGCCGTTGGCGAGAGTTCCATTCTAGTCCTCCTCCCTTCGCTCGCCTCACTCCAGCGCCGGAGTCTCCACCCCCCCGGCGGGTTCTGATTAGCCACTTCCGATGCTCGGGACCGCGATTGGTCCACCGGGTCTCTGGTCCCACTTCCTCCCCCTTGAAGTAACTACGGCGGCTCCAAGGAGGGGAGGGGGGGGAAGGGACGGCCGGTCCCGTCAGTCAGGCAACGGTAGCCGCCCGGAGCGGATGGCGGCGGCGATCGCGGCCTCATTTGCCGCCGGGGGTGAGGAGGCGGCGGCCACGACCTCCGTTCCAGGATCTCTGGGTCTGCCGGGGAGCCGCAGTGCAGAGCGGGCCCTCGAGGAGGCCGTGGCTACCGGGACCCTGAACCTGTCCAACCGGCGCTTGAAGCACTTCCCCCGGGGCGCGGCCCGCAGCTACGACCTGTCAGACATCACCCAGGCTGGTGAGTGCACCCGGCCGAGCGCCCGGCCGGGACCCTCATTTGCATTGCCCCGCCCCCCTGCTCGCTGCTCCGGGGCCGAGGAGGCTGGCACTCCCCTCGGCCGTCCGCGTTCTCGACCCGCCGATGGGCATAAGTCTGCGATCACCCCTCCCGCCTTAAGAACCACCAGACCATGAGCGCGTTTCTCGTTTTCTTGGAAAGCCCAGGGTTCCTGGCCGAATGTTGTGATCCCCTTTCCACCCCACCCCCTCCGCTTCTGTTTATTTGCATATTGGCGCACCTGTAGAATGGTCCCTCCTCTTACCTGGTTGGCTTATTTGCCTGTTTTTGTTTTTTTTTCCAACTTCAGTTCTGATCGTTCCATAAAGGAGCCCCCATGAACCCCTCTAGTGACTCCTTTCTCTTCCTCCACATCGTCTGCCACTCTGTCCCCGTGCCACCGAGATCCGAGCAGACTTAGGACCTCCTTCCCATGGATCTGTCCCCTAACGACGCAATGTTTCTGCTTGCTTTGCTAGCAGTCCCGCCCTCTAAGGTCCCAGGCCCTCTCCACTCTTCACCCAGCCCGCCTGTGGGAAAGAAGCAAATCTTTCGTCTCCCCTCTGCTCCCCAATTCTTCCTCCTTATTCCTGACCCCCTTACCTGAGTCCTTTTCCTTCCTGCGTGTGTGAGGTCACTATGGAGCCCGTGACCTCACAGGGACTCTAGAATTCCCATTTCTGTTTCTGCTTTCCCCAGGGGGAGAGACTTGAGGCAATTGCTAAAAGGAAGGAAATCTTATCTCCTTGCCAGGAGTGCTGGAAACCTAGAGACTGTCTGACTATCCTTCCACTCCCCATCGCAGGATCCCTCTAGTCATGCTTCCCTGGTGTCTGTTGGTGGTGGGGTTTGGGGGACTCCACTGTGACAGGTGAGTCAGGCCTCAGCTGCTCTGGAGACGACCTTGGGCTGGCAGCTGTGTGAGTGTGTGAGTGTGTGTGTGTGTGTGTGTGTGTGTGTGTTGGAACGAGGGAGGAGGACTGCATTCCCGAAGCCACACCCCAGCCTAGCCCAGGGTGGGACTTGGGACTGGATGACAGTGTCCTCCTGTTGACACTGCCCTTGGACTGCATTTCTCCCCTAGCAGGTGCCTGCTCACCTGCAAGCACTCAAGTGGGCACGGACATACTCTCTTTCCCACTGTCCCGGGGAGAACCAGTTTAAACCTTGCCACCTTTCTTGGGTTGCTGGGTACACGAACTTGCCCACTTTGCAGTGAGTGAGTTCAGGGAATGGGTGAGCCCCAGGAGCCGTCCTCTCTGTCTCCCCGAGTCTCCTAACCCCCAAGCTCCAGATTGACCTCAGCAGCTGTGCGACACTCAATGTCTGTTCTCTTGCCCCTCCCCCTTGCTTGTTTTTTGACAAAGACCAAATGTTATTCTTTACTTCCTTAGGGCTCTGTCTCAGTGAGTGGACTCCTGGGGAAAACTACCAAGAACTCCCTGATCCTCCTAGCTCTCCCCCCTCCCAGCCTCCTCCCCCGGCATTCTGGCTCAGGGTGCAGCCAGTTCCCTTGTGAGTGAGCTTGTGTGGTGAAGCGGGGAAATCTCAGCTTCCTGAGAACCCCTCTCTGCCTGCTCTCCAGGCAGGAATTCTCAGAACTTTCAGGGCCCAGATTCTAGGCCAGGCGGGTCTATCTTGTTCAGAACTCTCTTTTCTGTCCCCTCTTCTCAAGCAGGGTGCCTGTCGCTTGGGGTGGAAAGGGGAAGTGACAAAAACATAGTATTGCCCATACCCTGCCCTCCACACCTCCTTGCCCTCCAACCCAGGCTAAAAGCTTCACCACTCGTGCCGGAGTAAGTTTGAACTTCTCCTCTTTCCCAGCTCTTTCTGAAACAGTGTTTTCCATGCATGTTACCTATGGCACAGGCCCCTGATATCCCCTGGACTTCATTCCTGGTGCCTGATAGCAGGATGGCTCCTGAGGTGGGAGGAGGGGCCACTTTCACAAAGGAGAAGTGCAGCTCATTCTCTCACAGACCACATCCTGTGCCTGCTGTGCCCTCCCTCCTCCTGCCTGGGCTCCCTTCCGCTCCCAGCGTTTGGCCCTGCCACCTGCCTACCCATCATCAATTGTTCTCTCCCTTCATCCATACGTGTGTGCGCACACATTTGGTGGATGCAGAGAAAGCAGGCAGGTGGAGGGTGAGAGTGGGAGGACAGCATTTGGTCCTCCCCTCTATCTGGAACTGTCTTTTCCTGTGACGGGCCTGTGTGCACCGAGGTTGGGAGCAGAGAGGGAGAGAGGATTCCTGGGGCATTAGGCTGCCGTCCGCTCAGGCAAACACAAGGCCCACCAGAGACAGAACCGGACAGATTCATTTCCTGTCACAAGACCCATTTCCTTGGGGGCTATATTCCAGATTCTCCTCCCCTCAGCTTTGCTCACTCTTCCCTGGGGAAGGCCATTCAAGAAGTTCACCCAAGTACTGCTGCTCAGGACTTCCCCCAGCAGGCCCTGGGCCCCTCCCAATACAGGCCAGCAGAAGAGACATAAACCCAGGCATAGAGGTTTAAGCAGTGAGTGTCTCCATATTGATGGGAACCCAAAATGCCCGATTCCTTGCATTGCACTGGCAGGCCACCACTTGAGTTAAAGTGGCAGTAAGAGACTCTGCCCTCCTTCCCACCCTCTCCACTAGTCGCTGTGTTCAAGACACAGGCAAAGGGGGTGCTTGCTTGAAGTTTGGGCAATAAGAGAGGAAGTAGGAGAAGGTTGGTAGGGCTATAAGAGGGTGGGAATGAGTGAGCCCTGAAGAACATGCGTCTGGCCGGGAGGGACCAGAGGACTCTAGCTCCCACCTCCAGCTCGGTTGATTGCCCTTCCTGGTCCTTGGGAGTCTGTGACTTCATAGATCCTTGGACCTGGTTTGCTGTTCCCAGGGGCTGGTGAGAAACCGTTGTCCAGAGTTGGGAGCCTTAATTCTAGAGCCAGGCTTTAATGACCCTTGGTTTTTCCCCGGACTGAACACAGGTTGAGGTTGGGAGTTAGGACCCCTGATGAAGGATGGGCTTTCTCAGTGGTCTCTCCCAGAGATTGTCCATATTCTTTTTTTAAAAAAATATATTTTATTGATTTTTTACAGAGAGGAAGGGAGAGGGATAGAGAGCCAGAAACATTGATGAGAGAGAAACATCGATCAGCTGCCTCCCACACACCCCCTACTGGGGATGTGCCCGCAACCAAGGTATGCCCTTGGCTGGAATCGAACCTGGGACCCTTCAGTCTGCAGGCTGACGCTCTATCCACTGAGCCAAACTGGTTAGAGCAGATTGTCCATATTCTTATCGTGAGCCTCCCAGTTCATCACACTGCTATTTTCTTTGGAGTACTAGCACTCCGCTATGATCTTTGCCTTCCACCTCTCCTGGCATCACAGAGCAACAGGAAACCACAAGAGTTATAGAATCCAGCCACCAATCCAGTATAACCCTTCATGTGTTTGTTTGAAAACAGCGTCCATGGCTTGTCTCCACACCCCTAGGCTGAGTTTCTCCAGTCCAGTGACCCTAAGGCCTTTGCCTTCCCTTTGCCATTCTGGCCGTTCTTGGAATGCGCTCCAGTTTGCAGAAGGCTTTGTTCTCTCTCCAGGTAGCCCAGGTTTATAGGCCTGATTCTTCAGGTCTGTTGGGAAGGTAGAGGCCTGGCATCTGGCTCTGGAGAAGTTCGAGGTCCTCCTGTCCAGGCTGGGCCTCTCCACAGCTCTCCCGACACTTGTTTCCCCTAGACCTGTCCCGGAACCGGTTCCCCGAGGTGCCAGAGGCGGCGTGCCAGCTGGTGTCCCTGGAGGGCCTGAGCCTCTACCACAATTGCCTGAGATGCCTGAACCCAGCTTTGGGGAATCTCACAGCCCTCACCTACCTCAACCTCAGGTGAGGAGGCAGGGCCGGACAGGGTGCAGCTTATCCTTCTCAGCCCCAAGCACCAGTGTACGTGCCCCGGGTGACCCTCCTGGTGACCTTTAGAGGAGGGCCACACTGGGATGCTCTGCCTGGGGAGCGAACCCACTGCCTTTCTTCCTTCCGCAGCCGAAACCAGCTGTCATCGCTGCCGTCCTACATCTGCCAGCTGCCCCTGCGGGTCCTCATTGTCAGCAACAACAAACTGGGAGCCCTGCCTCCCAACATCAGCACCTTGGGAAGCCTTCGGCAGCTTGTGAGAACGGGGAGCAGGGCGAGAAGAGGGACTGTAGAGCCAGGCACCAGGGACCTTTTCGGGGGGAGAAGTTAAGGAAAGGCAGGATGCGCCCTAGGGGTGAGGCCCAGACTAAAGGAGGTGACCAGAGACAGGAGACAGCTCCTGGTCTTGTGGCTTCTTCCTAGTTTTTTCCTCATTCCAGGATGTGAGCAGCAATGAGTTGCAGTCCCTCCCCACAGAGCTGTGCAGCCTCCCTTCCTTGCGGGATCTCAATGTTCGGAGGAACCAGCTCAGCACCCTGCCTGATGGTAAGGAAAATGAAGAATCGGAGGTGGGGGGTGGAGAAAGAGAGAGAGACAGACAGATGTTAGAGAAAAGTTAGAGAAAGGGAATCTTCCACAGAAAAATAATGCTTAGTTGACCAGGGTTTTGCATTGTATCAAACAAACTAAATTATGTTATTTGTTCTTGACCAGCATCCCTCTGAAACTGGCAAGACATGGGTTATTTGCTCTATTTTACAAATGTGGGAAAAGATGCAGCAAGGGGAGTAGGTGAGTGCGTCGGTACCTGTAGAATCTCAAGGTCAGAGGGCCTTTAAGGTTATCCTGTGCCACCACTCACCCCAGCGGGAGTTCTCACACCTGAGTCAGATGATGCCCTGCACCTCCTCCCCAGAGAGTCTGAATCAGCGGGGCACATGCTGGGGCCCAAGCAGCTCCATTTTAATGAGCTAATTGTGATGCACCCCAGCATTTGATAGCTTCTGCTCCAGAGCAGCCACACCTTCTTTTATTCAGCCAGCATTGTTTTGTATACGTGTTCCCTGTGCTTTAGGTGGGGACCAGGTAAATGTGAGTGATGTCACTCAGATCTGGGGCCATCTCTTAAAATGTAATGGCTTAATTAAATCTTAATTTAATGGGAGAGCAGCAGGAGGAAGTTCTAGGACAGGATACGTAGAGAGCCACAGGAGCTACACAGGGAGGCACTGGCTCTGCTGGGGAACTTGAGGAAGGCTTTGCTCCAGAGGTGCAGTAGGAGTTGACCATTGAAGGACAGTTCTCCACCCTCTGCAGCCTTGGCAGAGGGAACCCCATGTGCAAAGCATGTGGGTGGGAGTAAACCTGGCCCAGCATGGATGCGGTTAGAAAGTGCTCGGCAGAAAGGACCTGTGCCATGCTAACCCTGGTTTTGAAGAACAAGAGACAGGAGTCAGGTGGTCATCCATTTCCTCTGGGCTTCCCCTTACTGCTGTGCTGGCCCTCTTCTAAGTCAGTAGGGGTTCAAATAAGCTCTCTCTGGGCCATAAAAGAGACCCCAGCAAAATGTCCTGGGGACACAGAGGAAGGAGCAATGAATTCCAACTTAATGTTGGAAAGATTGCATGGAGAAGGTGATGAGCTGAACCTTGAAAGATGTGTGGACAGAACAGTGGCATTCTCCTAGTTGAGCAAAACAGTGGAAAGGCCCAGAAGTCAAGGGGCTGGAGGGTTATCTGGTGTGGTATGAGGATGGGCAGTGAGATGGGAAACATGGGCTGAACCAGATCAGACAAAGGTACCCCTCCCTACCTGTGGGCAAGCACAGTCTCACCCAGGGGGCAGGGCTTGGCTAGTGAAGTGCAGGTGGGATTGCAGCCCCTCCTGCCCGGGTACCTTTGTGTGGGGTACAGCTCACTTACCCTCAGCAACCCCAGCTGCAAGTCATGGAAAGTTTTTGAGCAACACGGTATCAACATTGGTTTGATTTGGGGCTTGTGATGGTCACTTGAGAAAGGAGTGGTTGGAGTGGGGAGTGGGCAGGGAGGAGAAATGGAGGAAGCACCTGGGATGGGCATGAGCTGTAGTTGGTGGGGGAGGGAAGCATGAAGGTGGGCCATATTTGAGCAGGAAGAGGAACAGGGAGACTGTTCTTAGATAGTGCCCTCAGCCAGCCAGGCCACAGCAGAGAGTAGAGGAAGTGAGCCCTTGGGCCTACTCCTGACTCTATCTTCACCCACCCTCAGAGCTGGGGGACCTTCCTCTTGTCCGCCTGGATTTTTCCTGTAACCGCATCTCCCGCATCCCGGTCTCCTTCTGCCGCCTCAGGCACCTGCAGGTCATTCTTCTGGACAGCAACCCCCTGCAAAGCCCGCCTGCCCAGGTAAGAGGTGGGCCTGGGGCGGACATTGGAGACAGGGTTGAGATTGGGCGGGAGTGTGGGTGGGTCCCTTTGGTAGCCAAGTAGGATCTGGAATGCCCCCTGCTTTTCCCTAACTCCTTTTGTGCTCATCTTCACACTCAGATCTGCCTGAAGGGGAAACTTCACATCTTCAAGTACTTGTCAACAGAGGCTGGGCGGCGTGGGGGCGCTGCACTGGGGGACCTGGCCCCTTCCCGCCCCCCGAGTTTCAGCCCCTGGTAAATAAGGGTGGGGAAGGAAGCCTGGATCCCTAATACCCCTTCCTGGCACCAGTGTCCCCATGGTTTCCAGAGGGAGGATGGGCAGGGGGCTGCTGCCCAGTATAGGACTGACCAGCTCTTCCTGGCTGGCCCCAGCCCAGCTGAGGACTTATTTCCGGGACGTCGGTACGATGGCGGGCTGGACTCAGGCTTCCACAGTGTTGACAGTGGCAGCAAGAGATGGTCTGGAAATGAGGTAAGTGCCTCCTTTCCAAGGGACATTGGTGATCTCAGTCCTGGAGGAGAACCTCTGAGCCAGGACCCTCTGCTTTTTACCTCTAAATCTCAGAGTGACAGATGGCGGCTGGAGCTGTCTTCTTCCTTCCCTTGCCCAAGTATCCTGGGGAATGGCTGGCTTAGCAGCGGACCCCAAGGCCTTAACCCATGAGTCCCCAGCTGTCTTCCATCTCTGCATTTCTGCATTTACAGTCAACTGATGACTTTTCGGAGTTGTCGTTCCGGATATCGGAGCTGGCCCGGGAGCCTCGGGGGCCCAGGGAGCGGAAGGAGGATGGCTGTGGTGAGTGGTGGTGTCAGGGGCCCTGGGACTGAGGGGAATGGACAAGCCTGAAGGCCCCCATCTGCTTGCTGACGTGTCCTGCCTCTCCAGCTGATGGAGACCCTGAGCAGATTGACTTCATTGACAGCCACGTGCCTGGGGAGGATGAAGAGCGAGGTGCTGCCAAGGTGAGGGGCTAGCCCTTGTCCACTGTCCATCTGCTGTGAGAGGAGAGCTGGAGGGAGGGGCCAGTGCAGGCTTGGAGGTCAGGTCTCCCTCAGTTCCTCCTTCTGCTGTTCTTTCTTCAGGAGCAGCAGCCACCAGAATTAAGCCCTGTAGCAGGGGAAAAGGAGAGGGCACCAAGCAGCAGGTACCAGAGCCACTTGAGCTGGCACCTCCTTTCTTTGCTCAGTCTCCTTGCACCGTCTCTCTTCCCTGACCTCTACCCTTCTCATCCCGCCTTTGCCCCTTCAGGCGGGAGGAACTGTCTGGAGAGGAACGGCGCCGCCCGGACACTCTGCAGCTGTGGCAGGAGCGTGAGCGGAGGCAGCAGCAGCAGCAACAGAGTGGAGTGTGTGGGGCCCCCAAGAAGGACAGGTGTGGGCACAGGAGCTACTGGCAGGTGGTGGGCCATGGAAATGAGCCCTCCTGAGCTACTCTGCCCCTTAGGGTTGGCAGCCCCCTGCCTAACACTGCTGACCCCACATCTCTTCCTTCACTTTCTAGTTTTCTGAAGCTGGGGGTCAGGGCTCCTGGTGGAGGTGCTACAGCCTTGTCCACTCAGGCCACTTACAAGTATGTGTCCTCCCAGACTGCACCTCCCTGAGCCCTCTCCTTGCACTCCTTCCCCATGACCATCCCTTCTAATTCCCATTCTGTCTCCTCAGCGGCATGCCCAAGTCCAGTGTCACCCAACTGGGAGCTTCAGGGGGACAGGGAGCTCCTGTCTCAGCCCCCACCTCTCAGGAGTCCCCTCCTATAGGTGGACCAGGTGTGACAGGGGCTTTGGGAAGAGGATGGGGGCTTGTGTACGTGAGGGGTAGCCTGAGGGAGGAGTGGGACACCGAGGGGATGTCTCTCACCTGCCCCGTCCCCTGCCTCTGTTCCCCAGTGACAGCACCTGCTCCTCGGCCGCTCGGCTCCATCCAGAGACCAAATAGCTTCCTCTTCCGTTCTTCCTCTCAGAGTGGCTCAGGTGGGTCTCCCCTCCCCAGAACTAACCCGGTGCTAATGCAGCACTAACCCCCAGGCTGCAGTCACCTGCTGGCCTGGGAGTTCTCTGCTCAATTGTCTCTTTGTGTTGAAAATCCCACAAACACAGAGACAGGAGATGTGTGTGCCAGACACTGTAATCCAGCTACAAAGTCTACAGTGGTAGTGGAGACAGCCCCACACCCTCCTTTTCCAGGTCCTTCCTCACCAGACTCTGTCTTGAGACCTCGGCGATCCCCCCAGCTTCTGGACGAGAAGGAGCTGATGGCTCAACTGCGCCAGGTCAGAGAGGTGGGGTCTGCATGAGTGGGGCCTGGGCTCAGCATGACACCTCCTGGTTTCCTGGCCTCCCTCAGTGTCCTCTTTGTCCACCCTGGTGCTTTGGCTGAGGACGGGAGATGCAGGCTGGCACTCCCTGCTGACTCTGACGTTCTCATCCCCCATCCTCCTCCTTTCCCTGCCTTTCAGGTCCTTGAGTCGCGGCTGCAGCGGCCCCTGCCCGAGGACCTGGCAGAAGCTCTGGCCAACGGCGTCATCCTCTGTCAGCTGGCCAACCAGCTGAGGCCCCGCTCTGTGCCCTTCATTCATGTGCCCTCACCTGCTGTGGTTAGTGGGGGCCCAGGGTGGGAAGAAGGGAAGGGGACAGGGGACTCCTGTGGCCCCTCCCTTAATCTCTTATCTTTTTTCCTTTCTCACACATCCCCAGCCAAAACTCAGTACCCTCAAGTCTCGGAAGAATGTGGAGAGTTTCTTAGAAGCCTGTCGAAAAATGGGGGTGCCTGAGGTATGGAGGGTTGATCTCAGAATCCTGGGGCTGGTCTACTATAGAGTGGTAGCATTCTGGGCTTAGCTGAACCCTTTGCATGGATGGCAGGGTTCCTTTCACAGGGAGTATGTGGTCCCCAGAAGGAAGTCCCTGTCCTGCATGTCTCCCTTCCCTGCATGCCTCTTCCCTGCACTCTGCATGTTGGCACGGCTCTGGCCCTGGCATGTGAGGGCAGGGGGTGGAAAGAATTGTCTTGCTGCTGCTGATGACGTCTGCCCTTTGTCCTTGTCCATCTGTCCTACTCTCCCTTCCCAGGCTGACCTGTGCTCGCCCTCGGATCTCCTCCAGGGCACCGCCCAGGGGCTGTGGACCACCCTGGAGGCCGTGAAGCGGGTGGGGGGCAGGGCCCCCCCACCGCTCTGGCCCCCCTCTGGTCTGGGCGGCTTCATCCTCTTCTACGTGGTCCTCATGCTGCTGCTCTATGTCGTCTACACTCAACTCCTGGGTTCCTAGGACCTGAAGTCACCCCTTCCCCCACCACCTTGCCCTATTTCTATTTATAAGACTCCTGTGCAACCCCCATGCCCACCAGTGGTGCCTTCAGCCCCTACCAAAGACACTAGTGAACCCTCCTCCCCTCACAAACACTGACCTCAGAGGCCCCACTCTGGTACCCCCAGATCCTGGGCACCCAGCCTCTGGCCCCTCCCATCTCAGTGCTGATGGTGCCTTCATGCCTTCTCCCACCCAGCCCTGCCCTCTGCTCCCCCAGAGGGGGTGGATCTTAACCTTCCTGTTTTCACTCTCTCTCCACCCCCTACTTCCCACCCCCGATATTGGGGGCTAAATTATCTATATTTTGTAGAGAGAACTCTATATTTGTAGGAGATGCAAGGCCCAGTCTGGGTCCCCATCTCATGTATAAATTGTACAGACTGTGGCTGCCTGTGTGTGTGTGTGTTTGCGTCTGCTCCTACTGTGGCCAGGCCCAGTCCTGGCAGTACCCGTTGGGCTCTATGTGCCAGCCTGCCTACTCCAGCGTTTTCCTCTGGAAATGACAGGTCTTTCCTCCCCTATGAGCCTTGGCCCCTGTGTCATCTCCCTTCTGATATCTGCTGGCAGCTTCTTTGCATCTCATTTGTCCCAAACCATGTCCAGGGTGCCCCTGACCTCACCTCCTACATTTTTAAGGGCCATCCTGTCAGCTTCCTTTGACCAGGCTCCTTTAGGGTGTCTCCCCCTGCCCTCTGCCAAGGGCTGGGAAGCCCAGAGGAAAAGATACACGGGGATTTCATCTGGGCCCCTCCCCCCAGGAGTCCCTGTGCCAGCCCCACCACATCCTGGAAGAGGAGGGGGCCCCAGGAAGGGGCCTCCCCTACATCGCTGCTGTGGTCCACGCACTGCTGGAGCAGTCTTAGGGGTTGAGGTAGGGGCACAGGGCCGCGACCGGCCTGGGATCCCGGAACAGAAGACAGCCGCGCCTGGGCTCTGCTCTAGCGAGGACTGGTGAGGGCGCCTCGCCGGGCCCTGTTCCTCGGGCACCCCGTTGGGCTGGAAGCCGGCCTGCCCGGCCAGGCGCCTGGGTTCCTCTGAGTGTGACTGAGGGTCTGGGATGGAAGATGGGGCATCGGATGTTGTGTCAAGTGCAATAAAGAAGCTGGAAGGTCTCTAAGTTGCCGCTAGTCTCTGTGTCTCGGCGAAGGAAAGTGGTGAAAGCAATGCATTGTGGGAAAGGGTTCTAAAGTGACCCGTGCTCAGCGCTCCCTGGGAAGCAGGCCGGGCTGCGCAACCCCCGCCCCCGCCAACAGGGGTCGCCCCGGGACCCAGCGGGAGCGCGTGCCACGTGGCCGGAAACGCACTGCGTGTCGGCGTCGCTGCGAGGCCGGGTGAGGTGGGTGCGGTGGGTGCGGTGGGCGGGCAGCCTGGACTCACCCGGACAGACAGGGTGGTGCCCACCACGGAGGGAGGCTGGGACCGAGTGGGCGCCACGGAGGGGCGAGGCAGACGGGTGGGAGGCCGGGCAGCGAGGGGCCGGGCACAGAGGTGCGGGCCTGCCCTTCCCTCCCCCAGACGCGGCATGTTGCCCTGGCCCTTTCCACGGTGGGACGCCGGCGCGGAGCAGGCGCCGGAGGGACAGGGCCCCGCACCGTTCGGTGACCCCGGCAAGGTGTGGAACTCTGGAGGAAAAGCCCTGGGGGAGCCAGGTGCACCCCCACAGGACAGGTGAGGGGCGCGGCCCGCTGGAGGCACTTGGGGGAAGTCCGCGTGGGCTGGAGGGTCCCGCGGGTGCAGACACTCATGGTCCGTGCGAACATATGTTCGGCCTCCCGCACCAGGCACCTGTGGCCTGGCCGTGGAGTGTTCAGACTCGGAGGGGAAGGCGGGGAAGCTCTGACTGGGGCGTCTCAGTGCCTTCCCACCTCCAGCCCTCAGTTCCGGGCCCCAAGGCCTCCCTGGACCCGGAGAGGACAGCGGCGGGCCCCGCCCCGCGCAGGCCTGGTAGCCCAGCAGCACCCGGGAACCCCAGGTAGGTCCTGGGCCTTACCCCTCTACTCCTCAGTACCCCTTTACCCGCTCCTGAGCCTGTTTTAATCTCACGTTACCCCTCCCCCCCAGTTCCCCTTTTTCCCCAGATGGCCTGGGGGGTGGCCCCTTCGAGAATGACCCTGCTGGCACCATGGGACCCCAACTATGAGGCTAAAGCTGGTTCGCAGCTGGTGTGGGTGAGTAGGGGGTGCCTATGGCTCTGGGCTCGGGGTGGGGCAGGGATACTCCAGTGATCTTTCCTGACCCTCCACAGGGACCCAGCTGTGCTTCCGGTGCCTCTTTCTCAAGCCGGACTTTGTGTCACCCCTCCTTCTGGCCGCTGTACGAGGCAGCCTCAGGCAGGGCCCGCAGACCCCTGACTTCTGCAGCAGTACATCAGAGTGGCGAGCAGGCACCCAGGGATGCAGGTAACACCCCTTGGTCCCCTCAGACTCAGGACTAATGCTTCGTGAGCTCCTTAGGGAACCCGGGCAGAGGTCCGTGGGATGGGAAACCCAGCCTGTCCCCCTGACAGCTTTTCTCCCTAGGGTTCCCGGTGATGTGCTGTGAAGATGTCTTTCTTTCAGACCCTCTGCTGCCCCCTGGGCAGCGTGTTCCCTTGAACCTGCCTGAAGCCCCTCAGCAGGTGGGTACTTTCCTGCCCTGGCCTTATCGCAGCCTCCCTGCAGGGCTTGGGAGGAGACACTTCCCTCTCTTCTCTCCGCAGGTGATGGGCTCTCTGAAGCTGCTGCTCCCACCCCCTATCATGTCCCCCCAGGTCTGCCCCACCCCGTCCCCTGGCTGCTGCACCGCCTGGCTCAGTGGGCCTGAGCTGATCGCCCTCACTGGCCTCCTGCAGATGAGCCAGGGGGAGCCAAGACCTAGCTCCACGGGTTCCTTGGCAGCTCCCACCCCCCCTTCTGGTCCCCTAGACCCTGTTTCTGATCACGCAGGCCCCAGTGGTTCTCACGGCACTGACCCATCTCTCCCACAGACCCCAGAAACCAATTGTCCATAGCACCTCTGGGGGCATCATGGGCCCTCTACTCTCTCAGGCGGTTCTGTTGACAATAAATGTGTTGGTTTGCAAACAGGCTCCCTGTGGTAAGTAGCAGAATGGGGCATTCGGGCAGGGATAGGGGTCTCTTCCTCCATGGCAGCTTTGGCTGTCCTCCCCTAAAATTCTTGTTACTCATTGGCTACCCCCTACAGTGGGGTGAGGGAACACATGGGCCTAAGACCTTTTCAGGCTGACCAAGAAAGGCACCTTTAATGAGGGGCCCCACAGTACAGTTCCCCAGGCTGAGTATATAAGAAACAAGGATTCCATCAGCTCTGCCAGGCCCAGGAAAGGGAGGATTGTGTAAGCATGTGGCTGACATTGGGAGAGGCAATCTAGGGAGTAAGGGGGTGGCACATCACTTTTGGGGGACACCAAAGGAAAGATACCTGGTGCTTTCATCCTTCTTGCGCTGAGGTCCCAGAAGTGCAGCCTTGGAGCTGAGGGTTAGTTCTTTGGTTTGTTGGAGACACAGGCAGGCACTGCAGGTGTGTGTGTGCGGGGGACAGGGAAAGTCCTCGTGGGAGTCCTCATCAGAGGAAGGGTGGCAGCCACGGTTCCCCTGAGACGCTGAACCAGGGGTGGGCAAACTTTTTGACTCTAGGGCCACAATGGGTTCTTAAACTGGACCGGAGGGCCGGAACAAAAGCATGGATGGAGTGTTTGTGTGAACTAATATAAATTCAAAGTAAACATCATTACATAAAAGGGTACGGTCTTTTTTTTTTTAGTTTTATTCATTTCAAACGGGCGGGATCCGGCCAGCGGGCCGTAGTTTGCCCACGGCTGCTCTGAACTGATGCTGCATAACTTTGCAGGGAAACAGAGGATCAGAGCTTTGGCTGAGAAAGCCCAGAAATTTGTAGGATTTTTTTGGAGGGAGGATGGTGATCTAGAATTTTCTCCCTTAAAAGAATCCAACTTCTTGGGGAACTTCCTCCTGAAGGCTTCCCACTGCTGGAAGGGGCAGAGTGGGCAGCGGGCCCGAAGGGGCAGCTCAGCGCCTCTGTAGGTCACCCATCCTAGGGGGTGCCTGTGCCTTAGAACCCCTCAGTTGTGGGAACACATGGGAATACATTCTAACTTTGCCATTTTCTCTCCCTCATCTCACTTTCCATCTGTCAGATAGACCTGGCAGACTCTCACCCTTGCCTCCAGAGTTGGTTCTGGGCCTTGATTTGGGGTAGCTGTGGGGGCAGTGTGTGATAGTCTTGGGGGATTGCCTCGTGCTTCCAGAGGAGGGACCAGGTCCAGGTCAACTAGCTGAGGTGGCTGGCTAAGGGGGTCCAGTATGACAGTGTCCATTTCTAAGTGGTCTGGGGCCATGTACTCAGTGCACACCTACCCCTGGGCTATTTGGACTGGGCTGATACCCTGCTGCTCTCTAGCTCTCCCCAATGCTGGGATGGGGGCCTTGGAGCCTGTGCCCTGGCCCCCTGGCCCTGGCTTGTAGGAAAAGGGGCAGGGAGCTTGGGGAAGAGGACCCTGTGGAAAACAGCTCATGGGCACTTAACTCAGTGCCCTCCCAATCCTAGAGCAACTGGTAGGGAGCAGCATTGGCAGCAGAAGGAAGGTGAGGGGGGAGGTGCTATCATAAAGTAGCCACCCCCGCCCCTTATGGGCTCCCACTGACTCATAGTCACTCCCAGCTCCCTTGGGTATGTGGCTCCCTCCCCTCTCTAACCCTCCGGGTATCGGGTATCGGGTATGAGGCTGATGCCCCAGCATCCCAGGGTCTGGAGGGTTGCTTGCTTGCTCCTCTCACCCAGGCACCCGCTACAGCCCAGGCCCCTTGATTGGGCCCAGGTGACTCGGATTTCATGAGGTTGGGGGACAGTGTCTGGAGGCGTTTATCAGAGGATCCCTTGGCAGTGGCTCAGTCCTACCACCGGCACCAACATCCCTAAGTTGCTTCATGGCGGCCAGGACAGTCTCATGAATGCTTCGGGCGCCATGACATCTATTGTTTGTAGCCACAGCGCCCACGTGGGCACCCGAGTGGCTGAGTTTCAGGAAGGAGGAGTCTGCATGGCCACAGCAGCACACACTGAGCAGGGACAGGAGCAGGGACCCCAGATAATGATGCCAGGGCGTCCTTGGAACCTCTGCCCTTGGGCTTCTGCAGCAGGCTCAGTACCCCCAAACCCAGGCACAGGCGGTAGACACTTGCCCAGGCCTCGTGTCCACCTCAGCCCCTTGGGCCAGTGTCACAGGCCAGACACCCTGAAATGGAGTGAAGATTCAGGTCCTGGGGTCCTCATGGGAACTGAGACCTTGGAAGGACAATTGGATGATCACAGGAGGGGGAGGGGAAGAAGGGAGGGGAGGAGTGTGTTGGAGTCACTGTGCTCTGAGAACTGATAAAGTGTAGACGCTTAATGTTTGAACTTGATTTCGGTGACCTAGAGCAGGGAGAGGCTCTGGATAGACCAAATCCATGACTATCCGACCCTGGCCCCCATATTCTCTCCGCCCACCCCGAACTTGGGCCTCACTGCGGTGGCTGCAGGCACCTCGAGGGAGGTGCCCTATCACACCTGCTGCTCCGCCTCGCTGGTCCCCGCCACGCCCAGGCTGCGGTCACATATGCGGAGGATAATCAGGCGGCCCTGGTGCGCGTCCACGCGCTGGCTGCTGGTGCACGCACCCGCCAGGCTCACGCTGAGTTTGGGCGGTGCTCCACCAGCAAACGTCTCGTTCTGGTAACACTCGAGGCTTGGCGGCTCTGCACGGGGCAGGGAACACAGCGGTGCTGGGACTTCTGCTTCCGCAAGTGGCTGCGACGCCGCCGTGGACTCAGGTGCACGGCGACCGACTTGGGCTCTGGTGTCCCCGTGGGGTGACCGCCTCCGAGATTCCTGCCGGCCACAGGCAGTAAAGTGGCCGGCGGAGGGGGTGAGACGGCTGAGGAAAGGCCGGAGTGGGTAGAGGTGGCTGCTACCCGTCTTGACGCCTAGCGTCTCTCTCCAGCTCCCCACTTGAAGCTTATGGCAGGGGTTCTGCAGTGGCTCCTCGCTGCCTGCAGCGTGTGCCGGGTTACTGCCCAATGACTAGGACACCCTGGTCTCCGGAGATCGATCCTCCCCGCGCCGCCTCTCCTCCCCCTCCCTCCACCAACAGCTCATCACTCCCCACCCTCGCGCGTCCCGGGAGCTGGACGCCAGCCCAGTGGTGGAAGTGGAGTTCCAGTCGGGACAGCCTCCACCCCACCCGCTCGGACTGGGCTCTGGCAGGCGTAGGGAGCGTGGGGGCATCTCCATTGATTTGCGCTGACTGCTGAGAAAGCGACCAGGTGAGGCGAATGTGAATGCGGCATGGAACTGTGTCAGCAGTGACTGTGCTGGCTGCGCGATCCGCAGTCCTGACTCACCTGCAGCTGAGCCCCGCCACCCTTACAGCAGCACCCTCTTCTGGTTCTAGCCGTCCAACATCCTTCCCCTCAGGACTGGTTTTGTACGCTTCCTTCCCAGGTAATTCTAGGAACCAGACCACCTAGCACTGGGTTGTGCTGACTTTCAAGGAGCTGGAGGTTCTCTGTGGATTTGGGGTGATAGGAAGTGTCTTGGGATAAGTAAACTTGTGGATTGGCCCCTACCCACCAGAATTCAGGTCGAGACCATGGAAGGAGGTTCCATGGAGGAAAAGGCCGTCTCAGGGGCATTTCCGTCATGCTGCCCCATCACCTCAGCCCCTTCTCCCCACCGCAGTCCAAAAATGCCACCACGGGCCAGCTGAAATCTCTGATCACAGTACAGAGTCTCTGGTGGGGGTATCCTTTGCCCTTTGTTTCCTGAGAGGTTTGAGATGGGGTTGGAATTCAGACATTTAATTTTTTAATTGATTTTAGAGAGAGGGAGAAAAACATCGATTTGTTGTTCCACTTATTCATGCATTCATTGGTTGATTCTTATATGTACCCTGATTGGGGATCAAACCCGCAACCTTGGAGTATCAGAGGATGCTCTAACCAACTGAGCTACCAGGCCAGCACTGGAATTCAAACATTTTTACAACTCACTTCTCATCTTCCATGGACCAACTATCTTAGGGAAAGATGGCACTGGTCAGTGTACACTCTACAGGACAAACCAGCAGTTGACACCAATGGGGGCCTTAGAAGACCTCATGATATCACTCTCATGGAAAGTAAGATACCTAAAGCGAGGAGCTGAGGGGAGGGGAGGGGAAGAGGGCAAGTGTAGCCTCCATTAAAGATGGTGTTTGGGGAGGAGCACAGTCAGGAAAAGATGTAACAAGAGTACTGAGCAAGGGAACCTGATTCTTTTTCTGACTAGTCCAAGGGCCAGGACAGCCTGAGCAGGGAGAGTAGCGCTTTTCCATTTCCCTGGCCTGGAAAGAGGGACTGGAGTACTGGAGGAGCCAAAGGTGCAGGACGCATGGAAGCTAGCTGGTACCTTTAAACACCTTTTAAGGGTGGTACTGGGAGTGGGATATGGGAGCCAAGCAGCATCCTGAGGGTGGGCATCCAGCCAGCAGGCAGGTGGTGCCCAGGCCCACTTCCAAGTGCCCCTCTCCCCTCAGCAAAGCCCCATCAGTACGCAGGAGAGGTGCTGGCAGCTCAGGTTGTGCACTGGGGACAGGGAGAGGCAGGTATGTGGGTCTGTAAGTCGCCACCAAAACAGTATGTTCAAGGCCATAGTCCCTAGTTTGGCCTTCATCTATGTACCAGATGCCAATGTGCAAAGTGGCAGGGACAAAAAAGCCATCTGCAGGCCCCTCCCTTTCCCAGTCTGGGTGCTGCTAAAGAGGAGGGCACCATTGGGCCTACCCGCTGTGCCCCTGGCCTGGAGCCTTTTCCCACAGGTTTGACTTGAAACTACCCACAGGAGAGTCTCGTCATACCTACTCCTTTCCACTCCCCATCAACCAAGCCACCTTGCAACACCCCGGTCCTGGGAAATCACAGCTGCTGTCAGAGAGCAGCTCTAGATCACCTTAAATGGTGGGTAAAGATAAAGCAGGAAGCAGCAGGGATCTCAGTGCCTGGGTTCTGGGCAAGTAGTGGTGGTA